AAGCCCTAAACCCTCGAAGCACACCACAGGCGACTGGCGCTGAATAGACCCGTTCTCTCGAGGGTTTAGGTTTTAGGGTTTAGGGTTTAGGGTTTACCTCGAGTGGCAACCTTCACAAGGGGGTCCTTTAGAAGAGCGAGGCCGTTTTTCTTTGAAGCAAGAAGAGAGTAAACCGTATGCACTGCGCCACAAACCCTAAACCCCAAACCCTAAACCCTAAACCCTAAACCCCAAACCCTAAACCCTAAACCCTAACCCCTAACCGTCAAACCCTAAACCCTACTGCGCGCATCCCATCCCACAGTGCATCTTTCCCGCGTCACCGGCCTCCGGACCGCGAAGGCTGCAAATTCTCGTTTTAGGGTTTAGGGTTTAGGGTTTAGGGTTTGCCTGGGGCGACGAGGCTGAAGTTGAGGAGCTGCTGGATCTCGGGTTTAGAACTGTCCATCAACAAATAAATTAATTTGCCATAAGTGGAATGCATCCTTTCAGGGTTTAGGGTTTTGTATCTTCTGCCAATTTCGAAAACCGCCCGAAAGAAACAAGACTGCTGCTCGAAGTCCATTTGCTGCAGCAAACGCTCCCCCGCCTCTGCGGACAAACCCTAAACCCTAAACCCTAAACCCTAAACCCTCGACGGACCCGCAGCGCGAACGCGCCTCTACAAGCAGGCGCGGCGCCCTCAGCAGCAGCAGCAGCAGCAAAACGGCCCTCTTCACAAGCAGCAGCAACACAAAGTGGTCTGCTGCAGCAGCAGCAGCAGCTGCTGCTGCTGCTGCTGCAGCAGCAGCTGCTGCTGCTGCTGCCGCAAACTTTTGCAGCTGCTTCAGCTGCAACCTCTACTACCCCTCCCGCTGCTGCTGCGCCCCCCGCTGCTTCTTCCCCCACCACCACAGCTCCCGCTGCACCCCTGCTGCGGCCACTGCTGCTGCCACTGCTGCTGCTGCTGCTGCTGCTGCTGCTGCTCACCGAAGTCGTTGGCCACCAGCAAGCCAGTCAGCACTGCGCAGAGGCTGCGAATTTCCTGCACGATTTTTCGTGCTCTGTTGGAAGCCAAAATGTCCACGCGAGAAGTGTACTCAGATACCTCCAACGCAGCCTCCAGCAGCCGCAGGAAGCGCCGCTCTGCAGCCAAACCCTAAACCCTAAACCCTAAACCCTAAACCCTAAACCCTAAACCCCAAGCCCCAAACTGAGCCCACACCCTGCGCCTGAACGCTGCACGCAACAAGTGTACTCAGATACCTCCAACGCAGCCTCCAGCAGCCGCAGGAAGCGCCGCTCTGCAGCCAAACCCTAAACCCTAAACCCTAAACCCTAAACCCTAAACCCTAAACCCCAAGCCCCAAACTGAGCCCACACCCTGCGCCTGAACGCTGCACGCAACAAGTGTACTCAGATACCTCCAACGCAGCCTCCAGCAGCCGCAGGAAGCGCCGCTCTGCAGCCAAACCCTAAACCCTAAACCCTAAACCCTAAACCCTAAACCCTAAACCCCAAGCCCCAAACTGAGCCCACACCCTGCGCCTGAACGCTGCACGCAACAAGTGTACTCAGATACCTCCAACGCAGCCTCCAGCAGCCGCAGGAAGCGCCGCTCTGCAGCCAAACCCTAAACCCTAAACCCTAAACCCTAAACCCTAAACCCTAAACCCCAAGCCCCAAACTGAGCCCACACCCTGCGCCTGAACGCTGCACGCAACAAGTGTACTCAGATACCTCCAACGCAGCCTCCAGCAGCCGCAGGAAGCGCCGCTCTGCAGCCAAACCCTAAACCCTAAACCCTAAACCCTAAACCCTAAGCGCTGAGAGTGAAGCTTTTGAGACAGAGGAGATGATGATGAAAGCTGAAGATGAAAAGAAGTGAGTTTGCTTTTGCCCCACAACGTCAAGGGTTTAGGGTTTAGGGTTTAGGGTTTGCTTACCTTCATAAGTGAGCCTGAGAGGAACAAACTTTGCAACGTCAACATAATACTCGGGGTTTACTGCTGCCCCATCTGCTGCTGCTGCTGCAGCAGCAGCTGCTGCTGCTGCTGCGTCTGCTGCAGCATCAGCCTCGCAGCCGTCCGCTGCTGCTTGTTCTGCTGCTGCCTGCAGCCGCAGCAGCAGCAGCAACAGCAGCAGCAACACGAACGCCCGCACAACATTAAACCATATCCTTCAACATTTCCAATAGCAAATTAGGGTTTAGGGTTTAGGGTTTCAAATGCGCCAAATGGCAATTCCCCAGAGAAGCAAATCTGGGCAGCAGTCGCCCCCATGCTTCTAAACCCTTTACTCTAAACCCTTAAACCCTTAACTGTAATTCCCTAACCCCAAACCCTAAACCCTAAACCCTAAACCCTAAACCCTAATTACTTGCTGAACCCTCGCAGCAACTTCAGGAGCCGCTTCAGCCAAAACGGCGTCAAGAGCGCCGCCCCCAATTAGGCCATTTATTACTGAGCAGCAGCAGCACACGCAAGCACATTTGCTGCTGCTGCTGCTGCTGCTGCTGCTG